CTATCCTTCAATCAGAGCTCGGCGTTCTGACGGCACCACAATCCCTGCGAAAGAAGCAGACAAACTTGCGCTCCGCATAAGTATGCGGGAAATCTTGAATGTCCACAAGCCAAACATAGTTGTGTCTGGAAAACGAAAGAACTTTACACTGAATAAAGCACATAGTAGACATGCATGCAGCTGACATGCAGGCTAAAGTGGACGTACATTGTGTGAGCAGCTTCTTGAACTCAGTGGCATCAGACTCCCACGAACACGCAGGACACCCCTAGAACGTACTATTTCATGTTACCCGCCATGACTAGACCACCCTGAAACACCAAGGAGGTGCCCACCGAAATTTGGAGACAGTTTTAAAAGCTGGAGGTGGACACTTGTTAAATCAAAGAAAAAAGCTGCAGAAAGGCTACAAGTATTATGCGAACATTTAAAAAGTATGGTAGTTTCCGCGAATGCCACTAGCCTAGTGCTCACCGGGGAAAGCCGCACGCTGACATGCTATAGACAAGCCTAATTACCGCTGTATTTGAAAAGATGCACAAAATTTGAGCATATGGTTTTTGTGCGACCAACAGTGATTACACTACATTATTGTGTCTGTGTACAAAACGTGCCACACATTGGCATGCACTACATGCTTTTACGAGAGGTGCAATAATTCAGACATAACTAGGGAGTTGCTGTGTTGACTCCTAGCAATACCTTAGGGCTTTCCAACACCTCCTCGTTTCTTGCCCACAGGCGGTTTAGGTGGCGCAGGCTTTTTTCGAGCTTCTTGGCCATCTTCGCAGAGTCTGAAATTCAGACAAGACAAGTTGGCACTATAATCATTGCATTGGTATAAAAATATACAGCCTTTGATAGTAGACATTGGAAATGGGGCACTACACAAGGCCTTTTCAAACTTCTGTAGTCCCTGTGCAAGTGGCCCTCTTACTTGCCCGTGAACTGACAGTATGCTATGTGTAGTACGGATATGATCACATCCAATAGGTTGGGAAACACATTCACCTTTCCACATAGCCATGGTGGCAACAATCGCTTTTACTGCATACAGTATGTGCTGAAATTTATCTCAACAAAGAGAAGGTTATGGGGCAAAAGTGTAACAGTATCAGCTGTCTTCTCAGTGGTTTCTGTAGGACAAGGCAAAAAGGTTGATGTGACCCCCACTAAAGTGGCACGCTGCATGAAGTAGACTCGAGTGACTTGCCACCACTAAGCTGCTTTGCTATAGTTTGCTTCTCCGCTGGCTTGAGTAAAAAACAGTCAAGGCCTCCTACAGTTCAATTGCTACACATGGTACATTTGATAAGTGCAGCTGTCAAGAATAGTCCTACGGTGGAGGTCTGCACAAGCCGATATTTAAAAGCCCGGCCATTTACAAGTCAATCTGGTCTGGCATCGACGCTAATTTTTAGAGGCCCATTCAAGCCCGTTTCGTCTTTGGCATTCACGAAGGCAAATTTACATTGTACAAGGCATGGAAAATACCACGCCTGCCTTGTTGAGGTAAATGCAAAGCCCGGCCTGGCCCACATCTTGTGCATTTTCCCAAAAATACCTCTCTTCAAACGCGACCATCTCATCTCGCACGACCAGGAGCGACTTTCGCCCACTAGTCTCCTGCCTGAAATCCCAATGTCGGAAAGCAAAGGATGCACTGCAGCGTCTATAAAGAACCATCTTTTCAACGGCAGAGGGACATCAAGCAGGTGCATAATGCTTGTGGGTGGCACTGGTATTGAATAGTTATCCTGTTGCCAACCACACTAGCCTGGGGTTGCTTCATTCAACAATGGTGGCATGCTGGTAAACAGTGAAAAATTTATAAACAGGCGTCACATCACGGAACGCTGAAATATATAGCAGATTTGTTAATGACAAAATGTTGAACTTACCACAGTTAGTTTCTGCGACTCTGAGGCGCTCCCTGAGCATCTCATTCTCTTCTTGGAGAACTTTTATTTTAGCCTCGTAGCTACACTGAAATGCATAGACGAAGTTCTTTAAAACAAAGGCAATCAATGAAATGTCATGAACGACTTTTATTTAGAACAGTGGTTCTCAAATGGAGTTTCGCAGACCCACTGGGGTCTGCGAGTCCCTGGCGCCAAGCCTCAAGACCCCCTGGCACACCCTCGCATGAGAAGAAAAGCTGTTTTTTGCTGTCCCTAGCTAGGTTGCACAAGTTACCGCCCGTTATATGGGGTACAGTCATTACCATCGATCCATCCATTCATCCTTTTGTTTGATGCTTCTCTCTTCTCCTCTCTTTATAACAGTAAATGATGCCCTTTTCACACTGCACTTAGTAGTCTTTATAGTACACACTGCACTTAGTAGTCTTTAGTACTATTATAGCACCCCCCCCCTTTCCCCTTCTCCCGTTCGCGTGGGGTCCCCCCTAACTGTGGCGGGTACCCAAGGGGTTCCCAACACATCCATGCTTGAGAACCACTGGTCTAGAACATAAAAGTCACACGCTGGTGAAAATAGCTTTGACAACGTAGTAACGAGGGACTGACGCCAAGTATAGATAATAAAGAATACACTTCTCACAAAAGTATTAGCTCTGCGTGTAGTCAATTTTCACGGTCCATTTAACAGCAAGCCTCACTATTTCAATCACCCTATATAAGAGTGGCATGCCAACCTTTGCCGTCGCGGCTCCGGCGTCCGACGCACCCCTCGCCAGTTGCGTGCGCTTGCCTTCCGTCGCTCCCTCACTTCCTGCGAGAAATAAATATGAAAGTAAACATTTCAGAGAATCCTATCTGGTTCGGAAACAATAAAGAAAAGTCGGCAACCAACCAAATGCTAAAAATGTAGGAACCCTACGTTTCGAGCCTAGGTGCATTGTTTGAAAAAGTGCATCTACTCAACGGCCTGCCGTCCTTTATCTAGAAATAAACATACACAGAAGACATCGCGCACATTCTTTGACGCTGTTTCACTGAAAATGACTAAACCATGCTAACAAAGCGTCAAAAAGTTTAGCAACACTTACCGAAATCTAAGAGCGTGGCGGGTGACGGGTCTTCATCCACCTTCCATTTTACATCCACGACCTGCCTGCGTAATTTTTTTTATAGCTCCCTCATCAGACATTAGTTGCACACCGATGGCCGGGTTATCTAACGCTTTAACGGGATATACATTCCACTTATCTTCGCCTATCCACTTAATAAGGATATGTGTCATCTTGCACGTACCGCGGTCCGGTAAACCTTCCGATTCAACACGCAAACAACGCAACCGCCAACAAAGACAAAAGAAAAGAAGCGGCTTGGTTGCTTGGATTGGATTGGGTGGGTAGATAAATGCTAGCGGCTGTACCCTTTGTATCGGGTGGCAGCTTGCGCCACCTAGCCTGATTGTATGTCCAGATGTCACAGTGCGACTAATAGCGAGTTCGTTTCACGGCACTCGTGTCCACGCGTGCTCATTCGCGGCGTAAAGCGAGTTCGTTTCGGCAGGCACTCCAGGAGTGGTTGCACTCTCCGAGTTCGTTTCAGCGGCGGCACCCCACGCGTGCATGCACTCGCTGCACCGAGAAAATCGGGCGTGCGCCAAAATGCAATCCCGTCATGCCTCGCTCCGGCGAGGCCGGCAAGGAGCGGGAGCAGACGACGGAGGGTTCGTCTGCTACGATGTGTCGCGGAACCAACTACCTCGTTGCGCGGAACCGAAAAGAAAAAAAGTAGATTTTCTGATAGAAATCGCGTCCCGCGGGAAACATAATCAAACGCGAGCTTGAATTATGAGCGTCTGCTATTTCATGAAGGAAGCAATTAACAACCCGTGCTTTATTTGCAGGTCTTAATTCGTTCTGTTGCCGTACAGACGCTGAAATATACCAGTGTGTCAAGAAATGCTCAGAACAAACGCATCAGCGGCACCCCGGGATGTTTATCCTCTTCCGTGTGCGGGTGAAAAATTGAACATTTGTCGACAAAACACCCCCAGCAGAAACCTCTGACTGCCCAATGGGCATACGAGAAAGCTAAACATAGTGACTTTACTCGAGGCTTGGGCAACATCATCGTGCTTAACATTTACCTACGTCAGCTAACTTGCCCCGTCGTATTTTGTTCGAAAAAGCTCTCGTTCTCTACGTCTTCACCAAGGCTAATACCTGATCTACCAGCTGTAATGACGACCAAAATCGAAAGTCCCACGAAAAGTTTTGCTGGATATTCCAATAGACTAGTTTTAAGCAATACCATTTCAGTAGTTCACGCATAATACCATGTGCGAACGAATCAAGCTTCTGCTCGGACAGCATAATCAGCTTTCTTCAGTGTAAACGGTTATAAGAATTGAAAGATCGCAACCAGCTGCTTTGTAGACAGCTGGATGCGGAAATTTACGCCGTGTGTAACTAACTCTCTTTACGGCAGCCGAGTTGCTTGAAGTCATCGCAACTATAAACCACAGGTTGCAGCGTTCAACGTTTGTAGATAAACGTTGGTAGTGACTGCATTCCCGCATTTCCACCCATCACTCCAAACAAAAAGGCTCTAGTTTCGGTTTGAGGTCGGTACTCTTTCTACAACATAGATGGCGGCAGCGTCAGTCTTTTGCACTCGGTGCATTGGGCGAGTTCGTTTGAGTCCAGTTTTCCGTGCAACACTCTGCGAGTGCGATGCATTCTGGGAGAGAACTCGAACGGTACCAGTGCGTGTGAAACGAACTCGCTATAACGTTGGTGCGATGTAGCAACCTCCTTGGATGTAGCCCAAGATGAAAAATAGTATTGTCGCTCCGAAACCAATGAGTTGCCCAAAACAACCAACTTTGGTTTCAGGCAAAATATTTTATTGTCAAAAACAGCCAAACGTTTTAATTCACAAAAAGCACTCGCCCTTCGGGGTTTCCCTTTTTTTTTCCAGGGTGACTACAGCGACTCCGATTAACTCTTGTTACGTTAAAAGTGGTGCAAATGTGTGACGTACAATACTATTCTTGTTCGGCGGGAGTTATAGCTCTACCGCGATTGGCGAAGGGACGAACCGAATCCAGTTTACGTAGCATCGGCGTTTTTGCAGTTTTCGCTTTTTGCGTTTTCCGCCGTCTCCGTGAGCAGCGAGGCGTAAGGTCCGGTTGTTGCTGTTTGTTGAGGCCGCCGATGCCGTTTGCAATCTGAAATGCCTGGTAAGCGACAGTACGGCAAATACCTTTGGAACACCAATTGCAAGATTCCTAGCCGCTCGAAGTGCCGCCTAAAGAATCGTCGGACTGTCGAGCGTCCTACTGTTGAGTCGGACGATTCCGAGAACCATGCTGAGGACAACGACACACCTGGCCAGTCTCAAGACACTGGAGCCACTAGAGCTGCTAGAGCTGCGACCCCACAGAGTCAATCGTGTGACAACACCGACGGAGACAATGCAGATGCCGGCCACCGCGCTTGTGGTGGGTTATATATTCATTATAGCTTTTCTGTTTCCACGGTTTGCACACACGATTGCATCCGGGCATTCACCACTCATAATGAAAATCATTGTTGTCCCATCACAGTCGACACGGCGGCTGCGATGGACTCGGCAGCCGAAAGCGAGGACGAGACCGGGAACAAGTTGTCATCCTCGGAGGACTCGCCGGACCCGTCATCGTCGGAGGACTCATCCGACCCGTCGTCATCTGATTCTGAAGATGAGTCGGATGCTCCTACCTCGCCGAAACCGGGGTCAAGAAGCGAGCTGGTTTGTGACTTGTTACATCTAAATTTTTCTTTGCCATTGAGCATTTCATAACCTCACAAAACGTTCTATTGGCGGTTGACGTTGAGCGCGCGCGGGAAGCGGTTGCCTCGGCCGCTTTGAAAATTTACTTCCCTAAACTGAGAGGCCTGTTTAAGACGAAAGCTCAAAATTGCCTGGCGCACAACGATTAAACCGAAACCAAAACGGTTGCTTGTTCATACAAAATTGCTGGGGGCTAAAATATTTGTTCTGGAATGCTGATTGCGTACAATAATTACGATATGCTTTTCCTTTCTTCTGTTTTACACCCTGAACTTATATAATTGATGCAATATTCTTCAATTCAAGGAGTAGACAGCTGACCTGGCAATAGATTCAGAACTTGAATGAGAAAATTTTTCTCGAGGGAAACATGGCAGCTGCATTTTTGCGAAACGAAACAAGGAATTTAATAGGATCAAAATCTTGGAAAACATTGTGACGGTGTAAGATACTGTATAGGCAAGGACACGCAGCACGGTGAATGGTGCGACCTGATCAACCAGATAAAGTCCTGTTGGTACATGCGCGAGAAGCCTCTTTTGACATGTCTCCTGCCAACAACACTAAAAAAAAAGATAAAACAAAAAAACTTGTTGCTATGACATTTCAGGCGCATGCACGCCTCGCTTGCCACGCCTGTTCAGAACACCAACTGCTCACTCCTCAAGTGATACTGCATGAGCTTGAGGCAAAGACGTTGGATGGGGTGTGGAAGCATGTCCAACTCCACCTTCCCGAAAAGAGACACCAAGGGCAGGTGGTCGGTTTCCACACTTGAATTGAGAAGTGAAAAAGTGGTCCACACAGTCGAGGAATTCTTCTCAGGGACACTTTGCAGATACTTGGACACCGCACCAGAGATATCCGTTTTAGCACGTCCAGAAAACTGTTCTTTCCACCGCTAAGGCATGAAACTAAGGTCAGTGACAAAGCAGCATCTAAGCAACTTGTGTAACTCAAGTTCCCAGTTTTACATGATGTGGCACACACTTAAAACAACTTTAAAAATGAAAGCCGTTTACCACTCCCTGTAATGCCGAATTGGAGCGCATCTCTTTAGGAGGAGGGAAAGGTACGGAGAAGGGGCTGTGCTCCTTTTCCTCTCCTGCTCGCCTCTCATTTAGGGGAAACGTTTCTGCTAAATTTAGTGGAAAAATTTCCCGCTAAATATAGTGGGGAAAATTTTCTGCTAGATTTAGCGGGGAAATTTTTCCACGAAATTTAGCGGGGAAAGATTTCCGCGAAATTTAGCGGGGGAAGTATTCCGCCAAATTTAGCGGGAAAAATCTTCCGCTAAATTTAGCGGGGAAATTTACCCATCATACACTTCGCAGTTACGCCGACGCCGCTCAAGCTGGAAATGGACGCCTAAGAGCTGTGCTCTAAAACAGGCATGTCTCCTATAGGGCGTATTCACGCCCGGCTAGTGAGCACTGCACTCTGTATACATCGCCATCTGTGTGCCCGTAACAGTAGGCGGCAGTGCCCGCACAGGTTATATGGCGCAGCGAATCTTTCTCTAGCTCAGGTGACACCACGCACGAAAATGGTGTTTGCTCGTAACAGTCAACTGTCGCACAAGAACCAAGGACACACTGAAAAAAGTAAACCGAGGACAGCAGGCGTGACAAACTCCCAGTTTTGGCAACTACCTAGAGTCCGAGCACTTGAGCGCGTAAAGCCCGCTCACTCTCTGTGAGGAGGCAACACGAATAACTCGCATCAAAGGGAAAATCCCCGACAAAGATCACGACAAGTACTGAGGACAGCTACCGCCATTATAAGCGAGGGCGGCAAGCACACAACCAGTATGGTTTTCCGCCGTTGCTCGTAGATGGCGGCAACCTTTCCAGGTATTATAGAAGAATGGATAGTTGGGCGCGTTGGTGGGAAGTCATCATAGGAAACAGCGCGAAAAACCGACGACGACGAAGAAGCAGCACACAGTGTATCGAGTACAGCTTCGCTGGTCTTCTTTTTTCACAAGAGTGGAAAGGCTGAACAATTTTTTTTTTGTACACTTGCCGAAAACTCACCCCTGTAACGGCCATAGGTCGACTGTGTCAACGAATAAATAACTACTGCATGATGCGCAAACACGCCGACCAGAACAACAGCACCATGGGCCGAATGTCCCTGCCACCGTCTCCTCCGCCGTCCGTGCTCCTATGGTTCTTCGGTTATCCGCAACAGGGCGAGCAGCAGGCTGTAGTTGCGAAGAGTATAGTGTAAAGCGGGGGACACGTGAGCAACGAAAACTGGCCATGCAACAGTATCATAGCAACCGGTGCTGGCGTCCCTATGTCACTTATGTGCGGTCTGTCGTCGCTCGGGTCTGGTTGATACAGATAAAGCTGTCCGATGCGCCTGTGGCGCGCCTAGCAGCGAACGGCAAACGACACGTGGCACCAAGTTTTACCATTCATCTGTTTAATGCTTAGGGCACACATGCCTTGCACTGCACAGGACGTTCCGAGAGGAAGCTGAACTTAATGAAACACTCAGTTAAATACAAGTTAAGAATGCACCAAAAGAACAGCACCATGTGCCAGCCTCTGCACCGAATCAATCTCCAGGCAAACCAGGAAAGGCAGTCGCCATGATGAGTTATGCCATGTCGTCATGACGTCAGCTCGACAGTAGCATCGGTAACAGGACAAAAAGGACAGTATGAAAACACAGGGACAAGATACAGAAGAACACAAAAACAGTGCCGATTCTCTGCTCTCATTTTCTTTTACTTCAGTAAATAGGAACCTGCTGTTGTCTTGTTATCCTGTTGCTGGCTTCGGTCGCTGATATGGAGGCTACATCTAAGAGTGCTTGCAAGACGAAAATAGCGCAAAAGACAAGGACAAGTGGAAGACTACACAGGACAACCATTTGTCCTGTGTAGTATTCAAATTGTCCTTGTACTTGGTACTTTCTATTTTCGTGATGTTCAACCAACTAGGCCAACAATTTATAGTGCTTAAAAGGCCTGCCTTTTTCATTTGCTTCATGTTTCTGCCAAATTATTTTCATATGAGGTTCCGCACAATTTTTTAGATGCACAAGTTGGCAAATAGGACCTCGACTGCTTTGGCAAACACAATAAAAAGGTCAATAACACACGACTATCGTTTTAATTATTGCTCCCAGACTCTATTTTAAACAGATGTAACACCTAGAGCCACTAAATGAGCTGCGCAGAGTATCGGCACTTCGTTCCGCAATATTGTTGTGGGTGCCGCCATTTTGGTGCTTGTGCAGAGCAGACGGAACTGCCGATCGTCATGATTCAAAAGTGCAATTTCCTCAGCATTAGATTTAGTATTCGGAAGCTCGTGTGGTATTGCTTTGCTTTGTCTCGAACTGTGTAAACATTTTCGAGGACAAAACATGGTTCCCTGTGATTTCAGATAAACCTTCAGATAGCTGGCAAACATGATTTTAAGCCAAAATATAGGCGAGTACCTTTACTATGAAGCGTAGCTTGTTTAGTGGCACTAGTAACACCTACAGAGAGCAGCCACCACAGCGTCAGTCAGGGTTTTCAAGGTTGTTGAAAGTTCAGCAGGTAGCCTGTGTTTTTTCTGTTCTTTCTATTTATGTTATCCACTTTTTCATTGGTTTGGTCATGTTAAAAAAAGAAGGGGGTGTTGTGCGGTCTTCTGTTCTTTTTGTTGGGTTGCTTTCTGGATATGATCATGCACTTTCATAGCCCATTTATTTCCTTGTTATTTTTGTGTAGTGAAATATTCTAACACGTGTCTGAAATTCTGTTCAGGATGAGCTGCTATACCCAGCAGCCAAGCTGTCAATGGCAGAAAGCCTCCTGATGGTAATGGGCCACAGCCTTCGACACTGTTCATCCAAGGAAGCCACTGAGAGCGTACTCAAGCTGATTGACTCCCATCTACCGAAGGATACAAAGTATCCTACAACAAAATACTGCTTTTTCAAGCATTTTGCTGGAAGTGTGGGTAGGAAGACTAGGCATTTCTACTGTAGCAATGAATGGGTTACATTGGAGAATTAGGTCCTAGCGACGGTGAGGCCTGTTGTAACCAGTGTGGTTGGAAGCATTCTGAAAACGACCTTGTGAAGACGTTGTCCTACTTTTTTACCTTAGATCTTGCTAGCCAAATCCGTGAGATGCTTGAGACGAGCGATGGCAGCATCCTAGGCAAACACCGCTTGTCGTACGATGTCACAGACATGACTGAAAGTCTTGGTTGCAGTAGGCTCCCACTGGGTGCAGATGACCTAACCGTAACCTTTAACACTGATGGCGTACCGCTTTTTGAAAGTAGCAACTTTGGAATTTGGCCCTTGCTTGTCCAAGTTAATGAACTTCCATTTAGGGAGCGAATGCAGAAGCTCCAATTGTTCGGACTTTGGTTTGGTTCAGGGAAACCATCTATGAATACATTCCTTGTGCCCTTTGTGAAAGCATTGAATGAGCTGTCGACGTGTGGCATCTCATGGACCGACAAGGGAGGGACTACCAGAGTGTCCAAGGTATTCCCAGGGCCTTGCACGGTGGACACCGTTGCAAGGTGTGAACTCATGCAGATGACACAGTTTAACGGTGCATATGGACGTGCATGGTGTGAGGAGCCCGGCGAGGTGGTGGAAAAGGGGAAGGGGCATTCTCGTGTCTACCCAGCCGGTGCTGCTCCTCCCAAAGGAGGACGCACGAGTCTTTCTCGCAGCATGCGCGCAAAGCGCGTAAAGGCGAACCAAGCTGTGGTGTAAAAGGGTCAAGCGTCCTTTTACTACTTTCTTTTTTTAGCTTTGGTACAGGCTTTGTGGTAGATTACATGCATGCCGTATGTTCAGGCTTCGTGAGATCCACCACATTTCTCTGGTTCAAGGCAAAGCGACGTGACGCGTTTTAGCTGCGTCCCTTTATGAGGGATATGGATGCTAAACTGATGGGCTTGCAGCCCATCTGGGAAATGTCAAGACTGCCCAGATCCCTGAGTGTCATGAAAGGGTGGAAATCGTCGGAATGGAGAAACTGGCTGCTGTACTACTCTCCTGTAGTTTTGAAAGGAATCCTTCCTTCGAAATATTTCAACCATTGGATGCAGTTTGTTGAGATCATGCATTACGTCTTAGGTCCATCACTTTGTATTCAAAAGCTCCGAGACCTTAGGCTCCCCATGTTTGGTTTTGTTCAGAAGTATCGGGAGTTGTACGGCAAAGAGCGTGTTACATACAACACGCACCTGCTCATACATCTTGTTGATAGTGCAATAGGGTGGGGCCCGCCTTGGGGCTACTCGTTATACCCCTTCCAGTCCATTAATGGAAAACTGGGGCGGCTTGTGAAGGGAACTCGTTATCCACATTTGCAAATTGTGGACAAGTTTTCTTTGCTCGAGGCCTTACCAAGACTTTGGAGATCTACATCTCATCAAATGGGAGAGGGGGGGAAACAGGCCACTTATTTAAGGCCCTGCTGAAGGGATACAACTTGAAAGTCCAGTACACGCGCAATGGCCTCATTCATCTTTATGGGAAGGGACAAGTTAGGGATGTTGGGAGACAGTACAAAAATATCGAAATTGGGTGTTTTAAGCTCTGCACTGCCGAACTGGACAAATCTCGGAGGAAAAATTCTTACGTTGTGGCAAATGGTGTCTTTGGTCGCATTACTAAGATAGCCGCCTACTGCTCGAAAAACCAAACAGAATGTGATTGCTTAAAGGAAGTTGATTTGTATGTAAGAGCACAAAATGTTCAAAACAACGTACTGAGTAGGTTCAGAGAGGGTAAATTTTTTTAATTTGTTGAAGTTAATGACACCATTCAAGTCTTGAAGGTTAATGCTAGGTCTGTACAAAAGTGTGTGTGTCTCTGCTGTCCTCCTCACACTTAGTTAGCCACTGTAAGGGAAACGTTTGTGCTAGAGTCTGCATAAACTCACGTGCAGTTCTGGGTGTTTACCAGATTCCTTGTTTTAGCCAGAAGAAAACGACAAAAGGAAACCACGAATGGGTAATGAAGTGAAAATTTAAATGCACAGTTGACACAAAACGAAATGCGAACAGACCGTGCTAGGTTTTCAGAGGATGCTGCACCCCTGCACTGGTAAAATCCCGGGAGATGCCCCAACCCTGGAAGATAGCGCATCCCTATTTTTGGCTTGATTTGTTATATTTTTTTAAACACCGAAACACAGCCCACTCCTAGTAATGGTAGTGCTGGGATCAATGAGGGCCTCGTCATACATGCGGCTTGTTCACTGTGGCGGGATATAAGCGAACGCTTCTGACTGGGAAGTACAGTCATTTTTGCTTCGTTGCCCCTCACCACCATTACAAGCTTGGAAGGGACACCACCTAAAAATAGCAATTTGTTTCAAACTTTTCTTGAATGTACATTGAAAGTTAGCCCACTCCATATTTTCAGCTGATTTGCGGTTGGTGTTAGGTGGGCTATCTCTCGGGATTTTATGGTAAGTTGCGGCTGGGAATGTGCAGCTCCACCTTTGATGTCTTAAGTTCTTGCTCAGTGCATATCAAATTTCGTCGTCATGCCTTCAGGTGATGCAGCATAGGTCAAAAACCATGCACCCGCTATTCGTGTTTCTTCTAGTTCCGACTGAACATATTTTGATCACCAATAGTCAAGTAACGTAAAATACTGAAATCCATGCCATGATAAACCATGATAAAAGCCATGCCACGATAAGTACCACCCCTCAATTTCGTAATAGTTGGGAAATACGCATAACATGCATCTGCATATTGATGACCAAAGAAGCACCCATCTTCCAGTTTTTTGCAATTATCTCCAAATTTTAAGTGGGCATTTGCTAGGGACGTTTTGGTTGGATTGACCACAACCATAAACGACAATTGCACATTTGTATTTTGAACAAGTTACCTTATCCCAACGCACAATCTGACTTGGAATATCTCTGGCATGTGTGTGACATCTTGTCTCTGCACTGGTGCTTAATGGAGCATTTTTATTTTTTGTGTTTTTCTGTGGTAGAGTTTTTTCTTCTGTCTTTATTTTAATATATATTTCTATTTAATATGACAGCTGGGAGTCAGTGCAGTGTCTCTGGTCTTCTGTTTTTTTTTTTTGGCTTCTGTTGGTGTACTTGGTTTGATGCTATGAAAATTTAGGGTTTATATCCTGAAGCAACAAAAGTTGTTCCAGGGTTGGTTTAATTGTTTTCAATCCTCTTTATTTTGTTTAGAAATCTCATATCCAATTTCTAAGCTAAATTAAGGCTGGCATTCCCTATTTGTATCACGGGCAGAAAGCTTTTTAAGGAATAAAAAAAAATAGCGTTTTTTGTGTTTTTTTAATTTTACAGTGCAATTTTCCTTACCTCCTGTGCTATAGATTTGTTTTCTCCATTAACTGATAAGAAGTTAGTGAACTTCAAACACCAAATCAATTCTTGGTTCATTTTAAGGCGGCTGCTTACTCCGTCATGGGAGCATAAAATATGGCTGCTTGGAAGGGGTTAATTTGTATATAAAAATGGAAGTTCACCGCATTATACTAATGAATTCACTGAGTGTCATACATCTAGTGGTATATGTAAACCTTAAGATTTATGTACATCCCTAAGCAATGAAGGTTGGACCGGAGCTGGCTTGACTTTTTGTGCAGAGGTTGATAGCTGCTGTACCATTGCTGTGATAAAGAATGTGCGCACTTTGTATCTAAAATATTGTAAGCCAGGTTCATTGCTTCATCTGTGTGTGACTTTGCAGCCCCCAATAAAGTGCATTAGCTGTATTCTGGCTGACAATGAATTGCGTAAAGTTGTGAATAAATGTTTTCGATGCATCTGAACAAATTTGTTTGTCCTGCCTAATGCACAGTGTAAATTCATGCTTTTTTTTTTTTGTTTTTTCACCATTGTTTTTGGTGGGTTCCCACTCCAAAGAATGGAAATCAGCCGATGTGTCTGCTGCTTTTGATAAAGCTGGCCGGTGTGTTATCGCTTTTCTGCATAGATGAGGCATGAGAGTTGTTCGCTTTCAAATATTTCTATTGTTTCCTTTCTTTACGAAGTGACTAGTATATAAACTCAATGATGTTACTATTTTCACAGACTGAGCGAGAACGGCATGGCGTGTCTTTCAAACACCCGGCCTTCAGCGCGCGCTCTGTGCCTTCCACCATGCTTTGGCAGTATGCGCGTGCTGGATGTGCACGAGATGTTGAAGCATTTTCGAGGGGGAGACTCAAGCTTGAGGAGAGACAACTGAAGCTCCTCCCTGTTCTCACCTTGTCAGTTACCTTAGAGATTTTATAATGCAAGCTATAGGCTCTCAGTGGTGTTAAGTTTTGGATTCCAATGTTTGCACATATGAGTCTGAGCAAAAATGTTCATTCTGAGACATAAGTGCATTGGTTTTTTTGCAGGGTGCCCTTGCTGGGGTCCTCTAGAGCAGAAAGCACAAACCAGCTGATGTCAACTACTCATTGATAAAAACTCTTTAATCCCTATTGAGGAGACAAAGAAATGTGTGTTGCAAGTGATTAAACTAAAGTTCATGTCCAGTGACTAAGCTCAAAATAATGAATGATGAAACTCGTTTATACATCTAATGAGTAAACTAAAAAAAAAAAATTGACCTCTTAATGATAAAAGGTTTTTGCAAATAAGTAAATTCAAAATAATATTGAGTTCTTAACTATAAAACTCGTTTGCACCATGGATATTGCATTCATCATGATGAGCAAACTCAATTGCGACCTTAATGATTAAATTCAAAGGAATATATGTATATCGAGTTCACAATGGAGCAAGCTCAATTGTATTCCTAATGAGTAAATTCATTAGAATCGATATTGAGTTTCTAATAATCAAACTCCATTGCACTCCTAATGAGTAAAATCAGTAGAATCGATATTGAGTTTCTTGTGATCAGTCTCACTTGCATTCTTAATGAGTATAATCAGTAGAATCGATATTGAGTTTCTAATGATCAAACTCAATTGAATTCCTAATGAGTGAAATCAATAGAATCGATATTGATTTTCTACCGATCAAACTAAATTGCATTCCTAATGAGTAATATCAATAGAATCGATATTGATTTTCTAATGATCAAACTCAATTGCGTTCCTATGAGTAAAATCAATAGAATCGATATTGATTTTCTAATGATCAAATTCAATTGCATTCCCAATGAGTGAAATCAATAGAATCGATATTGATTTTCTAATGATCAAACTCAATTGCATTCCTAATGAGTAAAATCAATAGAATCGATATTGATTTTTTAATGATCAAACTCAATTGCATTGCTAATGAGTAATATCAATAGAATCGATATTGAGTTTCTACTGATCAAACTCAATAGACGTTGAGTTTATACTGAGTTTCAATTGACTCTATAGGAACACAGTAGAAAGTCAATTCAAACTCATTGATCATTTTTGTAATGGATCGCCACGCCGCTGACCAATCGCAGCGGGTGGCGAAGTTCGTACCACCTCGTCTCGCCGACTTGCACAGCCCCCGCTCCAAGTGTGACGAAATACGTCTTCCGAGCATTATAATGCAAGGCGGAGCGCACCAATGAGAGGAAGCACAGAGAAGTCGCCGGGGACGCGCGATGACGATGCAGCCAAGGGCGCCGCCATTGGTTGACGTCGGGGGAAAGCAAAAGCGCGTGGTCTAGTGGCAAATAAACGCACGAGGTGCGCAAGGCACGGAGGAACTTGCATGCCGTATAGACCCCTTTCGCAATTCACGTGCTGATTATTAGACGGTCGGAACCACTGCACAATGCCGGAAAAACTGCTAGTGAAAAGACGGTGAGAGTGCAGGCGAGCTGGTGGTAGCTAATCATGTCGTATTACACCTGAGACTGCGGTGGAAGAAATCGGAAGAACTTTCAGTAGAAGGAACAGACACAGAGAACGTCTCAACGTTCTCTGTGTCTGTGTTTGAGACGTTCTCTGTGTCTGTTCCTTCTACTGAAAGTTCTTCCGATTTCTTCCACCGCAGTCTCAGGTGTAATACGACATGATCAGGAAAAACTGCGTCGAGGAAGGTGCGAGTCATCCGATTAGATAGCTGACGTCGCAGCGCTACCAACAATACGGGCCGACGCCTCAAAATTGTAACTCCACTGTGCTCATCACCTTTTTCTGTGAGTGTGCTTTTTTCAGTGTGCTGTGACTTTGAAGTTAAGTTAGCCATTGTGCAATGATTGGACAGCTGCCAACAGGGGGCAGTATTTCGAAAGGGGTCTAAGGGCCTCCTGCGCTGAAGCTTTGAACAAACTGTGGCGCCCTCATTTTGGGTAGTACAAGCTCACCTGGTTGGGACTCCCACTATTGTGGCGCCTTCGACGTGATTTTTTCCCTTCTGCGTAGTGCAGAAGAACGAAAAAAAAACACTTTTGTATGGCCGAAATCGGCTACATTCAACGCCGCAAGACAATCGAATGTTCCGGAATCACGCCACCACAGCTAGGGTAAGGGTCTCGTATCTCTAAGAGGTGACGTATAACATCTGGCGTCCCGACGTTTTTGTTTTTTTCTTTTCCTTTATGTTTCTTTAGGACGCGTGATACGGCATTTCCTGGTTCACGCTTTTATCGCCCTAGCTTTGGCCTGTGCTTCCACGGCGTTAGCATTTTTCGTTTTTGTTTCTTCTATTTTTCTTGCTATCGTGTTCCGCGCCAGAGCAGGCACGCTTCTCATGTGTGGCAGTTTTAGTCGCTCAAGCTTGTTCTACCCAAAACAAGTCATAAAAAGTCGTTTTTCGCAGCACCTCCTATGCAACGCAGGATGCCTAAAGGCACTATTCGAAAGCGATCGCGTCGGTTGCCTCTGCTATAGCCTACAGTGCGCATACTCAGCAAATTTATTCTGTAAAGTACACAATAGTTGCTTTTTTTTTTTTACAGTAAAGTTAAAATTAATTATTTAAGTGTAACCTTGCAAACATATACCTTGTTTTTTAGAGCGCAGCTCTTAGGCGCCCGTTTCCGGCTTGAGCGGCGTCGGCGTCGCCGTCGCCGTCGCCGTCCGCGTAACCGCGCGGTGCATTATGGGTAAATTTTCCCAAAGGAACCCGAGGTCCTTCGGAAGGACCTCGGGTTCCTTCGAGAGGACCTCGGGTTTCTTCGGGAGGACCTCAGAAGGACCTAGGGTTTCTTCGGGAGGGCCTCGGAATGACTTCGGGTTCCTTCGGGAGGGCCTCGGAATGACTTCGGGTTCCTTCGGGAGGACCTTGGAAGGACCTAGGGTTCCTTCGGGAGGACCTCGGGTGGACCTCGGGCTCCTTCGGGAGGACCTCGGGAGGACCTCGGGTTCCTTCGGGAGGACCTAGGGGGGGTCAGGTGACCTGGAAGGTCACGTGACAATGACGTCATCAGTGATGATGACGATGACAATGCGGATACCGATGACGTCATCAGTGACGTCACTGATGACGGTGACGATGCGGATGCCAATGACGTCATCGGCATCCGCATCGTCGTCGTCATCATCACTGATGACGTCATCGTCACGTGACCCCCCAAGGTCACGTGACCCCCCCCTTCCGAGGTCAACTGACCCCCCCCCCCCCCAGTACCCTTCACTCCTCCTCCTCAAGAGCTGCGCTCAAATTCGGCGTTACAGGGAGTTGTAAACGGCTTTCATTTCTCCAACCCATTTTTTTTTCGGGTTGTATAACAAACTTTTAAAGTCACGGGTTAATTAGGTAATTATAAAAGCACGTAAATACGTATTGTCGCGTGATCTTGATTTTGTGTGCACTCTTAAGGGGACCACTCACAGCCCCCTCCCCCTTTATAGTTATTTTTTTGCCAGGCGATTTATTATGGTTTCAATATATTGCCAATCAATATTTTGCTCGAGCTACGTATATTTTAATGAGGCCAATAAAAATAAAACACAACAGCTTGACACCGAAACGCGAACACAGAAACCCATGGACGTATGTCACGTGGCCACACCGACTGCGTTTTTTTTTTCTCCGCTTATCCTGCGTATAAAGCAGACGACGACAACAACAAAGTTGCGTGTCGCCGTTCGTCGTGCGATATTTTTTTTTTAACTTTTATCTCTTCTGCTCGATGTTCTGCACTTGAAGATACATCGGCAGGTACCACGAAAAAGATTTGCGATATAGCGGCCACGCGTCCGTCGCAGAGTTGGTGAGTCGTGCGCCGCCATTGCGTCGTCCGACCCGCGGTACGTCGCCATGTAGAGAATGACGTGTACACGTACTTCCTGTATCTGTGCAGCACTCAGTTTTTCGATCAACGCATTTGCAGTTTTATAAACTCCACAAAAATGGGGTTCATATTATTTTTTTTTTATTTTGGCATTGAATGTGTGCTTTAGATGGCCCACGACTTTGAATATATTTGGTACACGTAGTTTAAACACCACGTGACCATGAAAAAGAGAGTGAGCGTGACTGAAACCGGCTAATTCTTCACCATTTGTTGTCGGGTTGGAGGAAACAAACTTTGAGCAGTAAATTGTGTTCCAAATATTTGGATTGTATGCACTTAAAAAAAGAAAAAAAAATCTTGAAAGGTTTTTTGACGTCCCGGAACTCTTACAGCTCTCGAAGAACGGTTTCGCCTGAAACACTATCGCACCCTTGCGCACTAGAAAGGCAACTTGGCGACGAACAACCCTTACGTAAGGGAGAGTTCGCCATAACCTTCTCTCTAGGTTGCTCGGAGCAACCGAGCCACCGAAAGAGAAGCAAGCGGAGCGACACGGCGTTCGCGAGCTGGAGAATTTCGCGACGTTCGCGAGGTGTGACCACGTGACAGCGGATACCACTCACACTCCGGTTACTCGACTTCACTAGATCCAGCACTCCACCCAGCTCTCGCAC